TAACGCAGCACTCAGCAATATTCCAGCTGTATGGCGGAGGTATGTAAATAATCGAGTCTGGACCAGACATTCCAGTGATCAGCATCATGAGTATCGACCTTCGCAATTGGGAACCGATGATATGTATCAACCAAGTCAGCGAGCCTGACCACCTGATCCCGTAGGTCGCCTCTTACAACAAGCATGGGCTACTGAAGACCAATTCTAACCAGGATCCACGGGTACAGTGAAGAAGGTCCGAGAGCACATAGAATCGTTCCCAACAGTTGATGCTCACTTCACCTTGCTAGATACAAACTGGGGATTTGGGCATCGGCATTAAATATCAAGAACTGTACGAACTGTACAAAGACTGTACAAAGAAAGGTGCACCAAATGTACCAAAGAAGGACCATTGCTCCCTGTCACAGAGATACTACAGAGAAAAAGAACGTGGGTCAGTTCAGCAAGAATTACTGGATTACACAGGACTGTGAGACTGTGATGAAACAATTATATATAGATCAAAGCTCCTTGCTCTGAAGGACAAATCCATCTTTGTAGCCACATTTGATCTCGAGACTGTACTATGTCCACCATTCACGCTAAGTCTTGTCAGTGAACTGTTACAATTTACGACCCAGCCAAAAAGAGGTACATTCTTGTATGGTCGGAATTGCTGAAATTCAGCTGAAGACTTTACCACCAACGGCCAAGCATGTAGTTCTGTCAGTCTAAATAACTGAGACTCAGTATAGCAGTGTAACGAATAATACTCAGCCTAAGTTTACTTCGACTGGTAGTTCTGTATTCAGATACCCAGGACAGAACAGAAACCAGAATATCGCTGCCTCCTATTACATGATGTGATCACTATTGAACACTTCAATACAATTCACAACAAAGTTCTAAAACCAGGTCTCACACAGATGGAGTGCTATGCGATTCATTCACCCATTCAAATTGACAAAAATAAGACCGGCACCTATGCACCAAGCCAGTGGGACACTGTTATAAGGACCCATATAATGTGGTCTCGATACAGTACACTGATGTGATGGACGTATATGCTCATGGTAGTCTGAGATAAACCAAACGTGATACAGCTAGTGGATGTGTGAATTGTTTGTCTATGTGCTGGATGAGCTACATTAAAGGCAACACAAAAAAGTATCTTCTTCAAGAATGAGGCATTCAGAGAATGGCAGTCGTCAGGGAATTCGAAGACCTTAGAATACATGTGGAGCTCTGACCGCAAGGTACTCAGGAAAACAAACAATTTCCTCAGCCAAGAAAAAAATATCCTATATCATTATTCCGATATATATTTGTGATATATTTATGACATGTAAATATGACCTTGAAATACTTAATATATTGGTTTTACTCATCAATGAAGAAATACTCAGCTATGAGTGACGTTATTATCATGAATAATATTGTAAAATGATCATGAATATATCCACAAAGAAGTCTTGAAGGTGTTTAAGTAATTACTCATGTGTTCAGTGATTACAACACGTGAAGATAAAATGTAACAAGCACAATTTAAGGCTACCTATAAGTAAAATGTATTCAATAAGAGAAAGGCAGCTACTGCTGACTATTGATTACAGGAGCCGGCTGGGAGTGTGAAATACCGCCTTTAAGTAGCCTTACCGCGGGATCTGGTTACAGGACTTAGAGGATACAGTGGTGGGCGGCTGTAATGATATGGATGCTATTAGTTGATTCCAGCATTGGTGCGATTGGTGGGGCATAAATACTATTCTCCGAGTTACTGGAATCTGCGACACGGGGCAATCATATCCGTAAACTAATACCACAATTTTCTGTTAAAAGAAAACCGGATCCTGGGCCAGACATATTCTCAACTGCCATATAGTGTGTTTCTAAATAGCCAGGGGGCCCTTGTACCAAACAACCTTAGCGCCAAGACTGTGTTAAGTCTATACTGAGGCATGGGACTTACGATCACCTCAGGGCTAAGGTTGTTTTTGTACAACGGCACCCTGGTCCTCGCAGTAATGTTTTTACAAAACCCAGGTTTATTTTTCACATTTACGCCAGAATAAGTGTTAAGTTTCTTTGAAGCTGATGATATTTATGGTTGCATAGTACCATGAGTGTACAGTGCAGTAATCGAGAATTGATAATTAAATTGTAAATACCTGTCCATACACAAAGTGCTCTTCCCGAAATGTCTCTGTGTGGTTATAAGTGATTCGGGCTTTAATCCCTAGATATATAATGCTCCACACTTAAACCAAACACAACACACGCACCTATGATTATTTATCATACCTCACACCTATACTTCACCTAATACACACAACTACGATTATATATCATACCTCACACCTATACTTCACCTGATACACACAACTACGATTATATATCATACCTCCCCCAAATACTTCACCTAATACACACAACTACGATTATATATCATACCTCAAACCTATACTTCACCTAATACACACAACTACGATTATATATCATACCTCACACCTATACTTCACCTAATACACACAACTACGATTATATATCATACCTCAAACCTATACTTCACTTAATACACACAACTACGATTATATATCATACCTCACACCTATACTTCACCTAATACACAAAACTACGATTATGTATCATACCTCACACCTATATCTCACCTGATACACACAATGACGATTATACATCATACCTCACACCTATACTTCACCTAATACACACAACTACGATTATATATCATACCTCACACCTATACTTCACCTGATACACACAACTAGGATTATATATCATACCTCCCCCCAATACTTCACCTAATACACACAACTACGATTATATATCATACCTCACACCTATACTTCACCTAATACACACAACTACGATTATATATCATACCTCACACCTATACTTCACCTAATACACACAACTACGATTATATATCATACCTCACACCTATACTTCACCTAATACACACAACTACGATATATATCATACCTCACACCTATACTTCACCTAATACACACAACTACGATTATATATCATACCTCACACCTATACTTCACCTAATACACACAACTACGATTATATATCATACCTCACACTGTACTTCACCTAATACACACAACTACGATTATATATCATACCTCACACCTGTACTTTCACCTAATACACACAATTACGATTATATATCATACCTCACACTGTATATTCTTCACCTAATACACACAATTACGATTATATATCATACCTCACACCTATACTTCACCTAATACACACAACTAGGATAATATATCATACCTCACACATATTCTTCACCTGATACACACAACTACGATTATATATCATACCTCACACCTATACTTCACCTAATACACACAATTACGATTATATATCATACCTCACACTGTACTTCACCTAATACACACAACTACGATTATATATCATACCTCACACCTATACTTCACCTAATACACACAACTACGATTATATATCATACCTCACACCTATACTTCACCTAATACACAAAACTACGATTATATATCATACCTCACACCTATATTTCACCTAATACACACAATGACGATTATAGATCATACCTCACACTGTACTTCACCTAATACACACAATTGCGATTATATATCATACCTCACACCTATACTTCACCTCATACACAAAACTACGATTATAGATCATACCTCACACCTATTCTTCACCTGATACACACAACTACGATTATATATCATACCTCACACCTATACTTCACCTAATACACACAACTACGATTATATATCATACCTCACACCTATTCTTCACCTGATACACACAATTACGATTATAGATCATACCTCACACTGTACTTCACCTAATACACACAATTACGATTTTATATCATACCTCACACCTATACTTCACCTCATACACAAAACTACGATTATATATCATACCTCACACCTATATTTCACCTAATACACACAACTACGATTATATATCATACCTCACACTGTACTTCACCTAATACACACAATTACGATTATATATCATACCTCACACCTATACTTCACCTGATACACACAACTAGGATTATATATCATACCTCACACCTATTCTTCACCTGATACACACAATTACGATTATATATCATACCTCACACCTATACTTCACCTAATACACACAACTACGATTATATATCATACCTCACACCTATACTTCACCTAATACACACAACTACGATTATATATCATACCTCACACCTATACTTTCACCTAATACACACAACTACGATTATATATCATACCTCACACCTGTACTTCACCTAATACACACAATTACGATTATATATCATACCTCACACCTATACTTCACCTGATACACACAACTACGATTATATATCATACCTCACACCTATACTTCACCTGATACACACAACTACGATTATATATCATACCTCACACCTATACTTCACCTCACACAATTACGATATATATCATTCACCTATATACTTCACCTAATACACACAACTAGGATTATATATCATACCTCACACCTATACTTCACCTGATACACACAATTACGATTATATATCATACCTCACACCTATACTTCACCGAATACACACAACTACGATTATACATCATACCTCACACCTATACCAACACTGTTACAACAGGTACTGCCCGCTGCTCTCTATGTCGGCTAAAAGGCTGGATTAAACACTGGTTTGTGCCACAGTCTTGTTTCCGATATTTGGGGACCTGAAAACGTTTTATATACAGAAGAACCACTGGTTGATGATACGAGCAACGGTCCACGCTGTATTCCAGTCTTTACTCGTACGATGAACATGGAATATTGGTGACCTATTCTATACTCCCCTACAGCGATGGGTGGCATGTAGGTGACGAAATCTGTGCATGCAATCCATCGTGATGCCACTTTTACAAGTGATGGATCGATATGGATTTATGAAACGAGCATGCTAGTTAGTAGCGAGTCGTTTGCAGTACGTCTCTTACCTCGGCCTTGTCCAACCTTGTCCACGGTGAACATGTGCGGGCGGTCAGAGAACACGTCCCCTCGTTTCACGAAGGCCTCCTTCAAGGCTGCAAAACCATTGATGACGACGATGAGACGGGAGCCGATATAGAAGCTGAATACGTCCCCGTAGCGTTCTCGCATCTCCTGAAAAACCCTGCGTTTGTCTCCCCCTCTGAGAAGGCTGATGGTGCCAAGAAAGGGAACAGGAATTGGGCCTGGGGGTAGGGGGCTGGTCTTTCGATACGATTTCAACAATACTGCTGCTAGGAGGATGAGGGCGGTTGTGCTTGCCCAGTGGTCACTGAGAAGATGGATGAAGGCGGACAACATGCCGTCGTCGTGGTCGTCGCTGTATTGGTGCGATGGTGGGCCACCAAGAGAGCCAACACTTGTTTTGAAGAGCAGTAATTTCTGTAATACAACTTCTTCTTCGTCTTCTTCTGGAATATCAGACTAAGTCAATAAACTGATTTCGTAACGCTGACTGTGTGATCACTGATAGTGTGGAAACACAAACAATCTGAGGTTGTTTCCCCAAGCTGTACACGGTATCTACTTGCTCCGTAGATCAGGATCGTAGCAATGGATCTCCCCCGCGGAGGGGCTCAGGGGTGGGGCAGACGGAGGCGTGGTGTCGTTGATCATCTATCCAGGATGTGTTTCTTTGATTCACGAACGAGGGAAGAATTGTCATTAGTCATCATTGGTCTCCCATCCCTTGCTCTAATCTCCGTGAGTGTCGTCATTCTAGGCATCACATATCACACACGGCACATTGGTCAATCCAGGAACTACATTACAAAGCTTGTCTAGGGATGAACGTGTTGAGTGTAACGTGATTATTCTGACTGTGCCGACGCCTGGATGTGAGAGATGCCGATTGGGGGGTGCTGCCTTGTCGCGTGGAGCTATTCTCCTCCCTAGCGTGCAGATTCCGGTAGGCAGTGTTACCTTACTCGCATCGGGAACTCATCGGCAGTCGTACCAAGGTTTTGCCGCTGATGTCGCTGCCAGTAACTGACGTCGTTGGCAGCACCGAAGAGATTTTGATTAGCGTATCTGTTACAGTAAGCGCGCGATTAGTTCAGAGACTGACAGTTATGTTGGTGGAGATAACAGAAGTCATCATGATAGCATCCACAGCAAAGTATCTCAAAGCCTTCAGTATTCATCGACTAGTGTCTATAACACAATATATCCCACACAGTGACTTAAAGACAGTATCCCATGCCCAAGTACTGTCACACTGTATCTATCATACAATGTTTGCTAGATTGTGTCTGTCACAGTATATCTCATTGCTAGTATCTATCACACTGTATCTATCATACAATGTTTGCTAGATTGTGTCTATCACAGTATATCTCACTGCTATTATCTATCACACTGTAGCTATGATACAATGTTTGCCAGATTGTGTCTATCACAGTATATCTCATTGCCAGTATCTATCACACTGTATCTACATGTATCATACAATGTTTGCTAAATTGTGTCTATCACAGTATATCTCACTGCTAGTATCTATCACACTGTACCTATCATACAATGTTTGCTAGATTGTGTCTATCACAGTATATCTCATTGCCAGTATCTATCACACTGTATCTACATGTATCATACAATGTTTGCTAAATTGTGTCTATCACAGTATATCTCACTGCTAGTATCTATCACACTGTATCTATCATACAATGTTTGCTAGATTGTGTCTATCACAGTATATCTCATTGCCAGTATCTATCACACTGTACCTATCATACAATGTTTGCCAGATTGTGTCTATCACAGTATATCTCATTGCCAGTATCTATCACACTGTATCTACATGTATCATACAATGTTTGCTAAATTGTGTCTATCACAGTATATCTCACTGCTAGTATCTATCACACTGTACCTATCATACAATGTTTGCTAAATTGTGTCTATCACAGTATATCTCATTGATAGTATCTATCACACTGTACCTATCATACAATGTTTGCTAGATTGTGTCTATCACAGTATATCTCACTGCTAGTATCTATCACACTGTACCTATCATACAATGTTTGCTAGATTGTGTCTATCACAGTATATCTCATTGCTAGTATCTATCACACTGTATCTATCATACAATGTTTGCTAGATTGTGTCTATCACAGTATATCTCACTGCTATTATCTATCACACTGTACCTATCATACAATGTTTGCTAGATTGTGTTTATCACAGTATATCTCACTGCTAGTATCTATCACACTGTATCCATCATACAATGTTTGCTAGATTGTGTCTATCACAGTATATCTCATTGCTAGTATCTATCACACTGTATCTATCATACAATGTTTGCCAGATTGTGTCTATCACAGTATATCTCACTGCTAGTATCTATCACACTGTACCTATCATACAATGTTTGCTAGATTGTGTCTATCACAGTATATCTCATTGCTAGTATCTATCACACTGTATCTATCATACAATGTTTGCTAGATTGTGTCTGTCACAGTATATCTCATTGCTAGTATCTATCACACTGTATCTATCATACAATGTTTGTTAGATTGTGTCTATCACAGTATATCTCACTGCTATTATCTATCACACTGTAGCTATGATATGCAATGTTTGCCCGATTGTGTCTATCACAGTATATCTCATTGCCAGTATCTATCACACTGTATCTACATGTATCATACAATGTTTGCTAAATTGTGTCTATCACAGTATATCTCACTGCTAGTATCTATCACACTGTACCTATCATACAATGTTTGCTAGATTGTGTCTATCACAGTATATCTCATTGCCAGTATCCATCACACTGTATCTACATGTATCATACAATGTTTGCTAAATTGTGTCTATCACAGTATATCTCACTGCTAGTATCTATCACACTGTACCTATCATACAATGTTTGCTAAAAATTGTGTCTATCACAGTATATCTCACTGCTAGTATCTAACACACTGTATCTATGATACAATGTTTGCTAGATTGTGTCTGTCACAGTATATCTCATTGCCAGTATCTATCACACTGTACCTATCATACAATGTTTGCCAGATTGTGTCTATCACAGTATATCTCATTGCCAGTATCTATCACACTGTATCTACATGTATCATACAATGTTTGCTAAATTGTGTCTATCACAGTATATCTCACTGCTAGTATCTATCACACTGTACCTATCATACAATGTTTGCTAAATTGTGTCTATCACAGTATATCTCATTGATAGTATCTATCACACTGTACCTATCATACAATGTTTGCTAGATTGTGTCTATCACAGTATATCTCACTGCTAGTATCTATCACACTGTACCTATCATACAATGTTTGCTAGATTGTGTCTATCACAGTATATCTCATTGCTGGTATCTATCACACTGTATCTATCATACAATGTTTGCTAGATTGTGTCTATCACAGTATATCTCACTGCTATATCTATCATCACTGTACCTATCATACAATGTTTGCTAGATTGTGTCTATCACAGTATATCTCACTGCTAGTATCTATCACACTGTATCTATCATACAATGTTTGCTAGATTGTGTCTATCACAGTATATCTCACTGCTAGTATCTATCACATTGTACCTATCATACAATGTTTGCTAGATTGTGTCTATCACAGTATATCTCATTGCTAGTATCTATCACACTGTATCTATCATACAATGTTTGTTAGATTGTGTCTATCACAGTATATCTCACTGCTATTATCTATCACACTGTACCTATCATACAATGTTTGCTAGATTGTGTCTATCACAGTATATCTCATTGCCAGTATCTATCACACTGTATCTACATGTATCATACAATGTTTGCTAAATTGTGTCTATCACAGTTTATCTCACTGCTAGTATCTATCACACTGTACCTATCATACAATGTTTGCCAGATTGTGTCTATCACAGTATATCTCATTGCCAGTATCTATCACACTGTACCTATCATACAATGTTTGCCAGATTGTGTCTATCACAGTATATCTCATTGCCAGTATCTATCACACTATATCTACATGTATCATACAATGTTTGCTAAATTGTGTCCACACAGTATATCTCACTGCTTGTATCTATCACACTGTACCTATCATACAATGTTTGCTAGATTGTGTCTATCACAGTATATCTCACTGCTAGGATCTATCACACTGTACCTATCGTACAATGTTTGCTAGATTGTGTCTATCACAGTATATCTCACTGCTAGTATCAATCACACTGTATCTATCATACAATGTTTGCCAGATTGTGTCTATCACAGTATATCTCACTGCTAGTATCAATCACACTGTATCTATCATACAATGTTTGCCAGATTGTGTCTATCCCAGTATATCTCACTGCTAGTATCTATCACACTGTATTTATCATACAATGTTTGCTAAATTGTGTCTATCACAGTATATCTCATTGATAGTATCTATCACACTGTATCTATCATACAATGTTTGCCAGATTGTGTCTATCACAGTACATCTCACTGCTAGTATCTATCACACTGTATCTATCATACAATGTTTGCCAGATTGTGTCTATCACAGTATATCTCACTGCTAGTATCTATCACACTGTAGCTATGATACAATGTTTGCTAAATTGTGTCTATCACAGTATATCTCACTGCTAGTATCTATCACACTGTATCTATGATACAATGTTTGCCAGATTGTGTCTATCACAGTATATCTCATTGCTAGTATCTAACAAACTGTAGCTATGATACAATGTTTGCTAGATTGTGTCTATCACAGTATATCTCACTGCTAGTATCTAACACACTGTATCTATGATGATACAATGTTTGCTAGATTGTGTCTATCACAGTATATCTCATTGCTATTAGTATCTATCACACTGTAGCTATGATACAATGTTTGCCAGATTGTGTCTATCGAAGTATATCTCATTGCTAGTATCTAACACACTGTAGCTATGATACAATGTTTGCTAGATTGTGTCTATCACAGTATATCTCACTGCTAGTATCTATCACACTGTAGCTATGATACAATGTTTGCCAGATTGTGTCTATCACAGTATATCTCATTGCTAGTATCAATCACACTGTATCTATCATACAATGGTTGCTAGATTGTGTCTATCACAGTATATCTCACTGCTAGTATCTATCACACTGTATTTATCATACAATGTTTGCTAGATTGTGTCTATCACAGTATATCTCATTGCTAGTATCTATCACACTGTATCTATCATACAATGTTTGCTAGATTGTGTCTATCACAGTATATCTCACTGCCAGTATCTATCACACTGTATCTATCATACAATGTTTGCCAGATTGTGTCTATCACAGTATATCTCACTGCTAGTATCTATCACACTGTAACTATGATACAATGTTTGCTAGATTGTGTCTATCACAGTATATCTCACTGCTAGTATCTATCACACTGTATCTATCATACAATGTTTGCTAAATTGTGTCTATCACGGTATATCTCATTGCTAGTATCTATCACACTGTAGCTATATGATACAATGTTTGCCAGATTGTGTCTATCACAGTATATCTCACTGCTAGTATCTATCACACTGTAGCTATGATACAATGTTTGCTGCTAAATTGTGTCTATCACAGTATATCTCACTGCTAGTATCTATCACACTGTATCTATGATACAATGTTTGCAAGATTGTGTCTATCACAGTATATCTCATTGCCGTAGTATCTAACAAACTGTGGCTATGATACAATGTTTGCTAGATTGTGTCTATCACAGTATATCTCACTGCTAGTATCTAACACACTGTATCTATGATACAATGTTTGCTAGATTGTGTCTATCTGGTATATCTCATTGCTAGTATCTATCACACTGTAGCTATGATACAATGTTTGCCAGATTGTTGTCTATCATCGAAGTATATCTCATTGCTAGTATCTAACACACTGTAGCTATGATACAATGTTTGCTAGATTGTGTCTATCACAGTAT